TTCAGCTTCTTAGTTTTTCCCTGCTGCTGCCCTCCTCCCTCAGATCCAGCAGCTCCACTAGTGCTACCGCTAGTCTCCACACCATTGTTTTCACCAGCAGGTGCCTCCTGCACCTTCTCTCCATTACCACCCTCTGCAGCTGCCTCCTCTCCCTCCTCCCACACACTAGGAGTCAGGTCCAGCTGCATGGTGATCTGCTCCATCTGCTGGGATACCCTGACCTCCGGCTGTTTCTCCCAGCTCCCATACATCATGCCCTCAACAAACTTCACATCCCTGCTGTCAAACAACACACCCTTGGATGGTTCCCACAGCAGCCATCCCTTGCTCTCAGCAGCCAGCCCCAAATGCACACACCAGATTGCACTCGCCCCCAACTTACTTCGATACTTCTTGGGGACGTGGGCGACTGCCATGCAACCGAACACCCTCAGCATGTCCATCGGCGGCTTCCTCCCAAGCCACCTCTCCAACGGCACCCATGAGTCATCACCAACCTTTGTGAGCACCCTGTTCCTGGCCACGGTTGCGTGCCTGACAGCATGGGGCCACATCAAGTTGCCCAGCCCAGATTCTATGAGCAGTGCCCTAGCTGTCTCCAGAATTGTCCGGTTCGCCCGTTCTGCTACACCGTTAGACTGTAGGGTGTAAGTCGTGGTCAGCTCCCTCTGGATGCCCTGCTTCTTGAGCCAGGCCGTCATCTCAGCTCCAAGGAACTCACCACCCCGATCCGTCCTAATCCGCTTCACCACACACTCCGCTTGCTTCTCCACGAATGGCAGCCAATCTTCCCGTATCGTAGAGGCGGCGTGGTCCTTCTGCTTCAGCGGATATGCCCACATAAGCCTGCTCCAATCATCCACTATGGTCAGAAAGTACCGCTCCCCCTTGTGCCCCTGAACCGGCAGCGGCCCCACCAAGTCCATGTGGACCAACTCTAAAGGCTTCTTGCTCCTGCCAGTCACACTATGGAAGGGGAAACGGGTGAATTTGGATAGCAAGCATATTTCACAATTGTCATAAGGTGGCTGGCCATTCAGCTTCAGACCCTTGACGACCCCATCCTTCTCCAGCTGCTTCAGCAAAGGCATTGCTACATGCCCCAAGCGTCGGTGTGCCGTTTCCCAATCCGTCTCCCCAGATCTGGCCGATACTTTCACACCAACGGCTCCCACGGCGTTGCACTCCCCCTGGGACGCAGACCCCTCTCTAGCCTGCCCCCCACCGTGCCACGCCAATGCTGGCAGCTGCCACATGGATCTATACACATCCTTGCTCTCGTGCAGATCCCAAAGCACCCGGTTGCCCAGCTGCCCCTTGTAAGTGCGTGCCCCATCCGTGCTAGTACTCACCCCATCTTTGGCGAGCTTACGGAGGGAGATGAGGTTGGCCTTGAGATCAGGAACGAGGAGAACGTCGTGCAGCACCACCGGCTTGCCATCCGCTCCCTTAAACGCAGCTCGTCCCGCACCAGCCACCTTCAGCGCGTGTCCAGAGGCGGAGCACACCTCATTGATCGGTGCAGCGCGTACGTTGTCCAGCAGGTCCTTGCGCGGCGTCATCGTCCAAGCAGCGCCTGTGTCCAACACCCAATAGTTCAGGGAGTGCAGCTCTGCTCCAACCTTGGCAGAGGCGTCTCCTTGCTCCCCCTGCTCTCCAATGTGGAAGAACTGGCCCGCGGTGCGCTCCTTCTTCTTCTCCGCACCGCCGTTGCTCTTCGGGTTGTTGTCGGACGAATCGGCGACCGTGCTCGCGCCGTTTTTCTGGTTCCTCCGTGCGCCGCCATCCTGGTGACGATTCTGGGGGGTCCATCCATCGGGTTTCTTATAGCACAAAAACCAGGGGTGCCCCTCCTTCTCACAATACCAGCAACTCCCTTTCATTTTGCCACCAGCACCCGACTTGCCCCCACGTCCAGATTTCGCACCGCGACCCCAACCGGTACCTCCTTGTTGGTCGATGGAGTCGTCATCCTTCTTTGCACCGCGTCCAGCACCACCGAAGCCACGTCCTCTGCCACGTCGGCTCCCTTGCATCCCATAGCCGCTGCTGCCGTCGTCTCCACCCCTTAGTTGGCGGCGACGGAAGTCCTCCTCCAGAATCTTTGTCCGCACCCACTCGAGTGTCCACGAGCTCTGGTTCTGCGGCAGGCTCAATCCGCTCGTGAATTGAAGCCACGATTCAGGCAGCAGCGAGAGCATCTTCAAGCACTTGGTCTGCTCCGGGTAGGTGATTCCCGCGGTCGCCAACTTTGCGTAGAGGTCGCGCATCTTGTCCAGGACAGGTTGCACCGGCTCTCCCTCGCTCAGGCGCAACGCGGACAGCTCCCTCTCCAGCATCAACGTTGCGACAACGGAGGTCGGGGCGTGCAGCTCCTTCAACACGGTCCACGCCTTCGGACCGCATTCAACCTCCGGCAGCAGGTGCATGACGTGGTGACGCTGGTTCAGCTCCAAACTCTGCGACATCAAATAGTAGCCAGCCGAGGAGCGCTCGTCCCAATCATCCTGCAGCGTGGGGTCACTCGGTCTAGGCTCCTCCCCAATCATTAGTTTCAGCAATCCAATCTGACGGAAATAGAGTTGCATTTTCCAGGCCCAATCATCATAGCCCTCACCATTGAACTTCTCGACGGTGAAGTTCTTCAGCACCTCCTTGACCAGCGAGCCCTGGTTTGTTCGCGCTCCCCTTGGCGCTGAAACACCAGACTCTTGGCTGCCGCTACGATCTTGGGCTGAAGATTCACCAGCTCCTGTCGAGGTGTTGCCCGCCATAGCTACCTATAACGAGGATCACTATAACGCAGCTCTGATACCAGCTTGTTGGTGTAAGGGCCTAATAAACTCAAGCTATTAAGACTTAATCAAACTTAAAACCTCTCCTCGGGGTCACCTCCAAGGGTCCTTGGGTGCCTGGTACAAGACCAGCCCCTATCCTCGGGTCCGAGTTTGTAGAGAGAGGAGTCAAGAATGACTTAGCCAAAATAACAAGAGTACCTTGAACGTCGCGCAGCGTATTGTGCAGACCGTCGATCGGATTAACCTGAGACTTTGCTAGATCGAAGCTCGCTCCAAGAGCTTTAAAACAAGCCAAGTTGCTTCGCGAAAAGTTCTGCCATTACGGAGTTATGGCCCGGACAGCGTTGGCCTAGAGTCGTAGTGCTAGCGTACTAGCGTTGACTCGGGTAGCATTCCGCCGTCGTACCACGTAGAAACGAAATTCCAGGAAGGGAGGAATTCGCTTGAATCAAATTGACTATATCCAGGTACAAACAGAGAAGGAATAAATAGTTCTAGCTAGCAAGGACCTTGGGAATCAACCTGGGAACAACCAGGGATGATCCCAAATAATTCCAAGCAACAGAACCAACCTGGCTGGACAAAACAGCAGGTGGTAGGTTGGTAAACAACCTCTGGTTCTATTTTTCCAACCTGGGAAAACAACAACCAGGTTCAGGTCCTAAAAACAGAACCTGTTTTGTCTTTGCCCAACCAGCCAAATGCTGGTTCCGCTGGTTTCCCCTGGCCCTGTAGCATGCAGATACAGACAAACAACATCCAACCTTCACCTAAATTGTACCCCTATAGTGCCTGCCCTGCTACACTATAGTCAACCAAACAAAACAGTACAATTTCGAGTTGGATAGAACTGAATCTGCGCAATCAAGTAAGCCGAACCGCAAAGCTTCCATCTTGGGTTCCTTTGCGAGCTCGTCCTTTCTGCTTGTACTGTTCATAGCGCGTACAATGTTGTGCCGAAGCGCACAATGCGCGAGTACCTGCAAATGCTTCAAGCAAAAATTGCGAAAGCAAACAAACACACGAACATTCCATTCACACGCAAATACATTCGCACACGCATACTCGTACAAACAGACGGCAGGATGTCGTGCAATGTGAATTTGCACCCAACAGCTGCAGCGGCGAGCGTGACTGCAGGGGCGAGCACAGGCTGCAGAGGCGAGCGCGGCTGCAGGGGCGAGCGCGGGCTGCAGGGGCGAGCGCGGGCAGCAGGGGCGAGCGCGGGCTGCAGGGGCGAGCGCAGGCTGCAGGGGCGAGCGCGGTGCAGGGGCGAGCGCGGGCTGCAAGGGCGAGCACGGGCTGCAGGGGCGAGCGCGGCTGCAGGGGCGAGCGCGGCTGCAGGGGCGAGCGCGGGCTGTAGAGGCGAGAACGGCTGCAGGGGCGAGCGCGGGCTGTAGGGGTGAGCGCGGGCAGCAGGGGCGAGCTCGGGCTGCAGGGGCGAGCGCAGGCTGCAGGGGCGAGCGCGGCTGCAGGGGCGAGCGCGGGCCCAAGGGCAGGGCCGAAACATTTTACGGGCAGGGCAGGGCGGAACGTTCGGTGGGCCCTAGGAACGATCATGCTCTGATACCATGTCAGAATAGGAAGACAGGAATGATATGGACTAGCAAGGATGGTGATACAAATAGGACAACCCTAATATATTGTACTCACTACTGAGTACCCCAATGTAGCCTACAGTAATATTTATTGTTTGACCTTGAGGCAATTAAGCCCGTTCAGCCAGTTGACACCCTTAGCAGTGATTTTGGCATTCCACAGCCCCAGCTTCTCCAAGCGTGTCAGGTTCCTCAGGTGCTTCATGCTGGAATCGGTCACGCCTGGAGTCAGGCTGAAGAATTCTAGGGAGGTGAGAGTCGTCAGCTGCTTCAACCCGTCCTCACTCACTCCACTGTCATCCAGCCAGAGAGTCTCCACTGATGTCAGTTTCCTTACATGCACCATGCTCGCAGAGGTGACTTACTCACAGTCATTTAAGGCCAGTGTTACAAGTGCAGTCAACCCCCGCAGCTTAGCTATTCCTGCATCGGTTACCTTGGTCAAACCAAGAAAAAGTGTTTTAAGAACCTTCAGGCTGCTAATACCTTCAAGAGAAGCGTCTGATGCATTGGTAGATGACAGATCCAGAACTGTGAGACATGTGAGGGAGTAGAGCTGTGTCACCCCCTCTGTAGTGAAGCCGGAGGAGTCAGAAAGGTTGAGCTACGTGAGAGAGTGAAAAGAGGTGAGTTGAGTGAGAGCAGCGTCGGTGAGGTAGTCATCACTGAGATCCATGCGAGTCTCGCCCGAAGAAACCCTGCTCCACAGCGTCAGCAGTGCCTGCAGCCACGGGGCAGCAGAGGAGCAGCAAGGGGAGCGACAGAGGGAGGAGCAAGGAGCAGCAATGGGGGCACCATGGGGAGCAGCAAGGGGACCAGCAAAGGGAGCAGCAAGGGGAGCCGCAAGGGGTGCAGCAACGGGAGCAGCAAGGGGAGCAGTAAAGGGAGCAGCAAGGCACCAATCCGTGCCACAGCAGTATTTCAAAATAAACGATAATCTAAACATCAAGATCAGGATGAGGGACAGGAGGAGGGCCAGGAACAGAGACATAAGTAGTGTCAGGAGCATGGGCAGGAGTAAGGTCAGGAGCAAGGGCAGGAGTAAGGACAAGAGCAGGGACAGGCTGTGACATTTGAGACAACAAATATGCAGTATTTCATAATAAACGACCACCTGAACAATTAAATCAGCAAAAGACAACAGGACGGGGAGCAGCAAGGGGAGCAGCATGGAGTTCAGGAAAGGGAGCAGGAAGGACAGCAGGAAGGACAGCAGGAAGGACAGCAGGAAGGACAGCTGGAAGGGCAGTTGGAAGGGCAGCTGGAAGGAAGGACAGCTGGAATGAAGGACATCTGGAAGGAAGGACAGCTAGAAGGAAGGACAGGAGCAAGGCAGCAATGGCCCCAGCAAGGGCCTCACCTCCCATGTCTTACCTCCAACCTCTTTCCTCAGTTCCTCCACCGCCATTCGCTTTTCCAGTGCCACCACGCGGTCACACAGTTCCTACAGCTCAGCCTCCGCATCGAAGTCCTCACCATTCGCTCCCCACTCCTCTTCGCTCTCGCCTTCTGCCGTATTCTCGCTTTCCGCCTTATCCTCCTTTCCTTCAGCCGCACTACCTCCGACACTAAGCTTAGGCTCAGTGCCCGCAGCAGCACCGGCCATGCCCCCTTCCCCGGCGACTGCCATCTCCCCCTCCTTCCCCGGTGACTCCTCCCTCTTCCGCCGCTTCCCCGTCATCCCAAAAATGTTTCGCCCAAAAACCTCCCCCCAGGTTACCCACAGCTTACCGCGTCGCGGGAGACCCCGGGGTCCTTGTCTAGGTGAACCGCGGGTGACCTCTGCAACATTCACTTGGCGAGGTGACCACGAGGTCACCCACAGGTGGTGACCCACGGGAACCCTTCGGGGGACCACCCCCAGCATTTCGGAACGAATCACACGCGAGCCACACGCGAGCCGCGTCCTCGTTGTGAAATGCTCCCCAACACCTTTGATAATTGCCTACAGTACACTAGCCGACACTACAGTAGTTTGGCCAACGTTTGATACGAAACAAAAAAAAGCATACGCATTAATTTTGATAATTTCACACAAGTTATATTTGTACCCTTAATTGGCATTTCGATATAACCATATATGTATTGTACAAAGCATACACTTCCATCATTCAATACTATACACGCTGACAATACTGGGAAGCATTGCTAGGAAACAATTTCAATAAATGAACACTTCCTAACGTACACATAACGTCCTCCTAGTGGGGAGCCGGGGGCAAAGCTCAATAGCCCCTCTATTTTGCTGTGCTCCTGCAACACACCAAAGGACGAAAACAGGAACAAACGAAACAGCAGCAATACACGCCACGTCAAATCGATATGGCGTCAAGCAGGATTCTCACCTCACGACGAATGCAGCTTCCACGGAAATGCGGAAAGAGAGATAACGGGGTTCGAAATCAATACAACAAAATCGCAACCGTTTGAAAAAGGGTCGCCATCGTAGTCTGCAAACGATGGCGACATTCAGACAAAGTCACTAAACAAGTGCAGTTAATGAGAGCGCAGAATACTCTTGAACGCGCATTTCATGGTTAGAAATAAAGCGCGCACGACTATCTTACCTCGCCTAAACTCCTGGCGCACGACTTGAGAAGCTCACCGAATTGATCATGACGTCGCACTGCAGTTACCGCGTCAGGATGAACATCATTAGGGATGAAAATCATTAAGGCGCTAAAAAATAACGAAATGCAAGGGTACGAACGCTAGAACGGGAAAGAACCAGAAAAAAAAAACAGCAAATTACAGGTACGATTGTGGACAGCTTGTCGTTCTGCGGTGAACCTTTCCACCGTTAATGTCTCACCAGCGCTAATCGTGAGAAGCTGCACGTCGTTCAGGTAACCTCGGGGGCACTTGCTGGGAAGTTGTGGGTAACCCCACGATGGTGACCTTGGGGTCTCCCGCGATTTCAAAGTAAATGTTGCGGGGTGAATTTTGGGATGGTGCTGCAATCCTCACGCTCCTCGCGGCTCTTCTCCGCGCGGCCGCCCTTGATTGCGGCGAGCGCCAACTCGACGTCGTTGATGCACGCCTGTGCGCCGCCGTCACCTTCAGCGCGTCCATCTCCCCGCGCATCTCACGCGCCTCCCCTCTCACCGCTTCCACCTGCGCCTTCACCTCCGCCACTTCCAGCGGGGCAAACGCGTTATCCCGCCGCGCACCTTTCAGCAGCTGCGCGCCAATGCCCTCCGCTGCCTCCCCCGACGCACTCCCGTTTACCGCCCCTTCCCCCGCACTCTTCTCTGTCGCCACCATCCGAAAATTGACGTGTTCAGAAACTAACTTTCGAGGGCCGAAAACTAACTGGAGCAGAAGTTACAAGCATGTCACTGGTGAACTTGCTTTTTGACGCGACTCACTCAAGGTCGCAGGCTGCGATTTCCGTAACTATTGGAAACCAATCAAGGTAACTCGGGTTGAGGTTCGGCAAGCCTTTTGATTGGTCGGACGCTGGAGGTCGCGCGTCGAGATTTGGCGTCATGTCTTCCCGCCTAGGCTGAAATTGTGTTTCATTGCTACGCGTGGGCTATTTCGACTGGCTTAGCCAGCTTTCAAATAATCTTGATAGATTGCGCATACAATCTAGATCGCGTAGACAAATTTTATGTTTCGGATGCCTATACCGCTTGTGCATTGTTTGTGATTTTATTGAACAGCTCATTAGTATTGATACGTACATATTCGATAACATTAAAGTACAGTGGAAAAAATGGCATTTTACAACGTACACTGTAAACGATTAATTCCATATTTTACAATATTCAAAACAATTAGCTTTCCACCATCTCGGAAATTGATTATTCCTTCCCTATTACTAAAGAATCAGTATAGTACAATAATGATCCCAGAATTGTAATCTGCATGTATTACAATCATATATACACAACCTCATAGAGATAACTGTTAGGTAGAATCACCTACTAACATGCTACATAGAACACTTGGCCCGTCTTCACTAAGGAACATAATACATGATTAAAGCCTAAATTGCTACTGTTTTGCCCTATAAAAGAGAAGATGCAGGGTCGGACATGCCTAAAAACCCATACTTGCATCCCCGCTTCTCCCCCCGTCAGGTCTCTCCCTTGGTATACAGCTGCACGTTTGGCAAATGCAGAGAAAAAACAGGACGTCTAATGAAGCAGAATCATAACTTCGCAGCGAGAAAATACGGGTGTACAAGTAAAGAGAAGGGGATTGAACAGAGGGGTGGGGAGAGGGTGTGGGGGGGAAAGCATATACGGTAGCATAATCTGGATCAACAGGTGCAGCAGGAGTCATGCATCAAATCTCTTACTGCGTGGAGGCATTTTGGCTGTCGAGATGCCCCAATGAGATGGCAATTTGCCACATTCCCGCAGGCGGCTCCACCCTGACACCAACTGCTGAGGCGCGGTTTTGTTTGGCGGAAAATGGTGAGTCAGATTGTGTCAACGCGGTGAACCCGGAGAACCGTCGATAAGTTAGAATTTTGCTAGCAAAGTAAGGGCATCCGTCTCCCCAGCGTTACGAGATGTAAACTAGACAAACATGGAATTTGGACTGCATTATAGATATTCGAACATTTTTAAACAACTTCATACTACTACTACTATAAATACTCCTACTACTACAATTGCTACTATTATTACGATTACTACTACTACTGCTGCTGCTAATCCTACTACTACTACTACTACTACTACTACTACTACTACTACTACTACTACTACTACTACTACTACTACTACAACAACAACAACAACTACTACTACTACTACTACTACTACTACTACTACTACTACTACTACTACTATTACTACTATTATTATTACTACTAAAACTACTACTACTACTAACACCACTACTACTACCTGAATGTGTGAGGAAATAGTGCTAAAAACAACATCCAAACGTTGAAACGGTGACATGTTGCGCACAGGCCTATCCTTGCACAGATTCAGGCCAGCAAACGCACAAACAAGCGTCACGTGCTGCGTAGTTGGGCGAACGAGCTCAATCAGGTTTCTATGGCAAGTTAATAGGATGTAATTCCTGAATGTGTGAAGAATTATTGCTAAAAAGAACATCCAAATGTTGAAACGGTGACCTGTTGCGCACAGGCCTATCCTTGCACAGATTCAGGTCAGCAAACGCACAAACACGCGTCACGTGCTGCGTAGTTGGGCGAACGAACTAACATAAGTTCCTATGGCAAGGTAATAGGATGTAACATCCAAACGTTGAAACGGTGACATGTTGCGCACAGGCCTATCCTTGCACTGATTAAGGCCATCAAACGCACAAACAAGCGTCACGTGCTGCGTAGTTGGGCGTACAAGCTCACATAAGTTCCTATGGCAAGGTAATAGGATGTAATACCTGAATGTGTTAAGAAATAGTGCTAAAAACAACATCCAAACGTTGAAACGGTGACCTGTTGCGCACAGGCCTATCCTCGCACAGATTCAGGCCAGCAAACGCACAAACATGCGCCACGAGCTGCGTAGTTGTGCTAACGAGATGAAATCAGTTCCTATGGCTAGGGAATAGGATGTAGTAGAGAACTGTGTGAAGAAATTGTGGTAAAGAAGGCATTTAGACGTTGGCACAGTGACCTGTTGCTCACAGGCCTATCCTCGCACAGATTCAGGCCAGCAAACGCACAAACATGCGCCACGAGCTGCGTAGTTGTGCTAATGAGATGCAATAAGTTCCTATGGCTAGGGAATAGGATGTAGTAGAGAACTGTGTGAAGAAAAAGTGGTAAAAAAGGCATTTAGACGTTGGCGCAGTGACATGTTGCGCACAGGCCTATCCTTGCACAGATTCAGGCCAGCAAACGCACAAACATGCGCCACGAGCTGCGTAGTTGTGCTAACGAGATGAAATCAGTTCCTATAGCTAGGGAATAGGATGTAGTAGATAACTGTGTGAAGAAATAGTGGTAAAAAAGGCATTCAGACGTTGGCGCAGTGACATGTTGCGCACAGGCCTATCCTTGCACAGATTCAGGCCAGCAAACGCACAAACATGCGCCACGAGCTGCGTAGTTGTGCTAACGAGATGAAATCAGTTCCTATGGCTAGGGAATAGGATGTAGTAGAGAACTGTGTGAAGAAATTGTGGTAAAGAAGGCATTTAGACGTTGGCACAGTGACCTGTTGCTCACAGGCCTATCCTCGCACAGATTCAGGCCAGCAAACGCACAAACATGCGCCACGAGCTGCGTAGTTGTGCTAACGAGATGCAATAAGTTCCTATGGCTAGGGAATAGGATGTAGTAGAGAACTGTGTGAAGAAAAAGTGGTAAAAAAGGCATTTAGACGTTGGCGCAGTGACATGTTGCGCACAGGCCTATCCTTGCACAGATTCAGGCCAGCAAACGCACAAACATGCGCCACGAGCTGCGTAGTTGTGCTAACGAGATGAAATCAGTTCCTATAGCTAGGGAATAGGATGTAGTAGATAACTGTGTGAAGAAATAGTGGTAAAAAAGGCATTCAGACGTTGGCGCAGTGACATGTTGCGCACAGGCCTATCCTTGCACAGATTCAGGCCAGCAAACGCACAAACATGCGCCACGAGCTGCGTAGTTGTGCTAACGAGATGAAATCAGTTCCTATGGCTAGGGAATAGGATGTAGTAGAGAACTGTGTGAAGAAATTGTGGTAAAGAAGGCATTTAGACGTTGGCACAGTGACCTGTTGCTCACAGGCCTATCCTCGCACAGATTCAGGCCAGCAAACGCACAAACATGCGCCACGAGCTGCGTAGTTGTGCTAACGAGATGAAATTAGTTCCTATAGCTAGGGAATAGGATTTAGTAGAGAACTGTGTGAAGAAATAGTGGTAATTAAGGCATTTGGACGTTGGCGCAATGATATGTTGCGCACAGGCCTATCCTTGCACAGATTCAGGCCAGCAAACGCTCAAACATGCGCCACGAGCTGCGTAGTTGTGCTAACGAGATGAAATCAGTTCCTATAGCTAGGGAATATGATTTAGTAGAGAACTGTGTGAAGAAATAGTGGTAAAAAGGCATTCAGACGTTGGCGCAGTGACATGTTGCGCACAGGCCTATCCTCACACAGTTTCAGGCCAGCAAACGCACAAACATGCGTCACGTGCTGCGTAGTTGTGCGAACAAGCTCAAACCAGTTCCAATGGCTAGGCAATAGGATGTAGTACGGAACTGTGTGAAGAAATAGTGGTACAAAAGGCATTTAGACGTTGGCGCAGTGACATGTTGCGCATAGGCCTATCCTTGCACAGATTCAGGCCAGCAAACGCACAAACATGCGCCACGAGCTGCGTAGTTGTGCAAACGAGATGAAAGCAGTTCCTATAGCTAGGGAATAGGATGTAGTAGAGAACTGTGTGAAGAAATAGTGGTAAAAAAGGCATTTAGACGTTGGCGCAGTAATATGTTGCGCACAGGCCTATCCTTGCACAGATTCAGGCGAGCAAACGCACAACATGCGCCACGAGCTGCATAGTTGTGCTAACGATATGAAATCAGTTCCTACGGCTAGGTAATAGGATGTAGTAGAGAACTGTGTGAAGAAATAGTGGTAAAAAAGGCATCCAGACGTTGGCGCAGTGACATGTTGCGCAAAGGCCTATCCTTGCACAGAATTCATGCTAGCAAACGTACAAACATGCACCACGAGCTGCGTAGTTGTGCTAACGAGTTGAAATCAGTTCCTATGGCTAGGTAATAGGATGTATTAGAGAACTGTGTGAAGAAATAGTGGTAAAAATGTCAAACATATATGCTATAGCTTGTTTAGGCTGTAGTGGGGTAGTCAATATGGGGTACAACACTTTAGGGTTTCACTACTTGTACCCAACTTCCTGCTAATGCAATAACTTCTTGTTTCTAGTTTCGACATGGTTTCAGAGCAGGTCCTCCGTTAGGACCGGTTTTCTTAGGGCTTACTATGCTGTCACTGCTGACTGCCCCTGACTGCCCTCGCGCCCTCGTGCGCACTATCCTGCCCGCGCCCTCGTGCGCTCTGCTTTTCTCGCGCCCTCGAGCGCCACCCTAAATCGCGCGCTGCAGCCGATCGCGCGCCGCCCGTTAGACGCGCACGCAGCCCAGCGCGGCCCCGTGCAGCCCGCTAGCCGCCCACGCCGCCTGCTAGCAGACCGCGCGGCCCCGTGCAGCCTCGCGCGCAGCCCGCACGCCGCACGCGCAGCCCGCACGCCGCACGCGCAGCCCGCACGCCGCACGCGCAGCCCGCAAGCTGCTCGCGCAGCCCGCTAGCCGCCCG